TGACCAGGCACTCGAATTTGGCAGCCTGGCCTTAACCTCGACTTCGCCTTAACCTCGTTTTGATCCAGAGGCTTGAGGGAAGTCGGAAGTATTAAATCGAGCTTGATCCTGGCGATCATGGAGTAACTTAGCTGAAAAGAGCGAAGAAACTTTTATTTTGCTCAAGGTAAGAGAAACATCTCGTGGAGTAGTTTCCTGCTGGTAGAGTCACCTTTTTTACGGGAAACGATCCAAGAGTTCTGCATGCTAGTAGGCAGCAGTAGGGTCTGACTAGTTTTGATTACAGTCAGTTTCCCGTCTGCAGAGTGTGGGAGAGTATTGCAGAACTCGACGAGATCTCGCGCGTGCAAGGCCGTTTTCAGGCCCCTCTTACTTATACAATGTTTAAAAAAACTCGCGCGTGCACCTACCAATACTTTGCAGACTGGAATTTATTACTGTGAGTGAGTCAGTAGGGAAGAGGTGCAAGCCCTCTCACGGGGGTACGTAGGGGGTACGTATGTGTCCTTAGCCTGAATTTTCATGGACTGGGGAGGAAGTAGCCTGCGTAGCGCTGCTCTTTCTTGCGCCCACTACTTCCAAGCGCCTGCTACGCAGGCTAGGAGGAAGCCATGTCTCTGTCGGCATTTTGCTTTTGTAGTTGCGCTTGTCTTTGTCGCTTTCGCAGACCTGTCAACTCTCACGATTCAGCTGTTAGTCTTTTTAACTTTTCTCACGGCCCCATGACAACACTCACAATCTCATGTTTTTTGGAGGAAAATCATTCTGAAATGAAATGAAATGTTACCTTGCTGAATAAAATGGAAAATTCAATGGGGAATTCTGATGCCTGTTCAAGCCTTGTTGAGACTTGTCTATAAACGGTTTGGCCATGACCAGTTGGCTTTATTTCCGGCAGAAACAACATACCTCTTACTATACATGTAAGTTTCCTCTTTTTTTGAAGGATGACCACTTAGACTTAGAGTCATTAAAGAAAGCAGCGTCTGATCTTGTTACGCCAGGAACCACAAATAATGCATGGTTCAATTATTTTACTTGTAACCATGCCCCCCCCCCACACACACACTGGGCATTTGCAATTTTTTCTTTTTCAGAGGTCTATTCCCCACCCCAGGGTACACAGGAAGAGACAATTCCCCACGCCCAAGCACCTGATCGACCTCATATACAATTTTTTCAACATCTTTTTCATCTGTACAAAAGCAAAACAACACATTTTCACAACTTTTATGAACGTTTTCCTGCTGAGTTTATTGAGAGAAAGATAATGGATGTCATAATGTAGTTAAAACATGAAGAAGTGCCTCCTTGATAGAACACTTCATGAGAACACGTAGTACTGGACCAAATCTCTGTTTCTCTATAGATGGTATTCACAGTGACATCATCAAATTGTAACGTCAAAATAGTGAGGTTTTACGAATTCTTATTTACACTAGGTTGAAGATAAACAAAATGTAAATCTTTGTACTAGTTTCCGTCCCCATAGCCTGTTTCATTTGAAAATACAGCAATTTGAACTTCTGAGTTTTTACAGTGCGTGACACCAAAATAGGAATGCTGTCTCATTGGAAAAAAGTCTCTCCTCTTGATTTTCAGAAGTATAACCATTTCAAGTATTAGAAGATATGTTCATGCACACGTATGCTAGTTCTCAAGAGAAAAGAAAGAGCTTTTATAGAAAAAGTGAACTCCAGATGTTTTTGTTGATTTCCGGTGGCAATATTATTAGTACACCAAATCAGTACACCAATATGGCTTCTCCATACAAAGCTCTACAAAGGTGTGTAAAACATTTCGGCAAATAACTCAGAAACTAAGGGCCACAAAGACCTGAGACTTGGACAAATTGTATATATATTAGTCTTTTATAACATTTCATATTCTTGGCTTCTTCCACTGGACAGTTTCCAATTTATTTTTTTGTTGCGTGACAGTGAAAACGGTCTATATTATAATTATTATATCTGCAAAAGCAGCTTGTATTCGTTTTCATATAAAAACTTATCATTATTTAAAGCTAAGCTGAAGAAATATTTCTGCCTGCCTTAAATTTCAAGAAAATAAATCCATTAGAGTATGCATCATATGCACATTCATTTCAAATCTTAAAATGTACCTTTAAATACAGACTTTGATTTTTATTTTGATAAATTATTCCTCTCTAACCACTCTCTGACAAATTCCTGCATTTTTCCTTAAAAATATGTAGTCTTGAAGTCCGCAGCCATCGTGTAAACCACGCGAGAAATAACTGGTATAACATCGCAAAATCAAAGAGAAGATATTTTTTTTATTTTCCCCACCCCCCTCCCCGTGGGACAGGGCTGCTTCAAACAATTCCCCACTCCCAGGCCTGAAGGACTGGACTTGTCCCAGGGTTGCCCAGGGGAGATGGTAACAAGTAAAATTGAACGATGCATAAAACAAGGTAGTATTTTAATAAATACTTATTCTCCCCTGTCCCCAAATCTTGATCAGGAAAAAATAGAATTTCACATACTTTTTGTAAAATCTCCAGTTTTTTTTTCATGAGCAAGGCTGTGCTGTAACGAAAATTGTAGGGAGCCGGCAGTCCTCTGAAACTGTAAAATCTAGGTTGCCCCCAGCATGTGATTTGTGTGAAAAAGCTAAAATTTTCTAGTCGCCCGATAGCAAAACGCCGGGGGCGTGACTGGGCTCCACTAGAGCACAGCCCTGATGAGTCTCGCAATTTTCTTTTATCATTGGTTGGCAGGTCTGCTTTTGCAGTGTCAACCCATCTTTTTGTTTTTTGTTGCCATTTCATCTGTCTGGTGGTTCATACAAAGATCTTTGAGGAGTGCCAGGACTGACAAACCCTTCATTCCATGTACTTTGGGGGCTTTAGTTTTGTGGAGATGGGAAGGGAAAATGGACAGTACTCCTGTTAACACCCTGGGTTAAGAATAGTTTGTGCTGTGAATGTTCTCAAACTCTGGTACACTTTTTAGGCCCAAATCTTAAAAAGGCAAGACTATTTTAGTAAGTGAAAACTAACAACGATGACTTAACACTGATGACTTAAATATACATGTAAGTCAGGGTTTTAGTTACATCTGTGTATTCTTCACCTTGAGTTGACTGTTGACTGAAAATTAATGATAAACCTTGTTGGTATTGCAGATTCATCAAAGCATGCACTTAAAGTGCTGAAAAAAGCTGAAAACTATTGTCCTCCAGCCACCCTTCAACAAATACACTATTTATTACAAATTATTGTCATTGATTTCTAAGTGTGTGTCTCTTCTGAAATATCACTTTCAATTGTTTAGAGTTTATCCTTTACCGGAATACCTGGCTGAGAAAACCAGCAGGTCCACTATACAACAGTGATGCCATGGTATAATGTGAAAATAATAGGTAAGCAAAGAGATAATTGGGCTACACATTTTTTTTCTCGGTATGCAGCTAGTGTATTTAAATTAATTATTATTTTTGTTCTTAACTAACTGTTAATTTTTTGAAATCAAAGATATGTGGCACAGAATTGAGTGGCTATACATACCAGTCTTGTGACCCTAATTCAAGGCAGTATAGGCCGGGGGGGACTCCGCATATGAAAGGGGGTGGGAATGCCCGTCCGAAATTTTGAATTAAACTATTGAAGGAGACCTATCTTGGTGTGGCCCAAGGTTTTTTTGTCCCCTAAAAGAGACCACGTAATAGAACAGACACCCTAAGTGAGACCAAAATCCAAAGTTTATGCCCCTAAGCGAGACGACAAGCACCACCACCACTTTCATATGCGGAGTCACCCCCCCCCCCCCCTTCCTCCCCCGGGGTATAGGCCATAAAGTTTTTTTGGATGATGAACTTATGAATATATGAAAATCATATAAGTGAACTGCGGGGTGAAGAATAATGAAAGATGATCATCGCAGTTACTGTTAGAGACACAACTTTAGCAGTTGTGAAAAGAAAGCCTGAAAAAAATGTACAGGATTCAAACCCTTGACCGTTATGATCTTAGTGATCAGCGTGTGGGTAAAGCCGCTTGCAGTTATGATGTTAGTGATCAGCATGTGTATAAAGGCAGGAAATACTCTGCGGGTGGGGTGTGGGGGTACTGCCATATATGGGCCATATAGGTATCTGCTGCTGTAATGAGTACAGTTTTCAAGCAGTTTACATGTAGTCTGGAATAGTCAATGGTATAAATCCTGTAAGTTTTTTCGGGTGAGGATGAATCGGATAATTGTTGGGCAAGGATAAATCCTAGAAGTTTTTCTGAGTGAGCACAGATCCTAAACTATTATAAGTTCATATTGGTTGTTGAAGACAGTGCCAGACCTTTTCAAGTGATAACTCATTAGATAAAAACATCTGATTTGCAGCAATGCCCTCAAGGATTACAAAAAGGTTTTTTTTTTACCATGCGGAAAGAGCATAGAAAATGGTGGTGCACAGATGTGAGTTCAAGCATAAATTTGCAGTGTAGTTGGCATTTTAAAGCTGTTTAAGAATAGGCTCTCTCAAAGATGTGTTTGCCTTCTTACCTACTGGATACAGAAATTCTTGATAGTTTAACTCTTGCTGAAGATTTGGACATTTCTACATGATTAAGGTTTTATGTATCTTAGAGCTGTGTAGTCTGTTCCAGGCTCTCAGAGAGCAGGGGTGATGTGCAAGTGAAAGGCATGCAAAAATGTAAGTGTGATCTGTTTTCCTGCTCCCATCTCTTCCCACTGTCTCCACGATCTGAACACCTGGAACATGCTAGGGTTGCAGGGCATTGGTAATTGCGTGTCCACATGCTATACACTTTTCTCTGGAGTTATCACAACACTACTGTCTCATAAACTTTGTCATTTTTGTTCTTGAGGATAGACCATAATTTATTATAGTTATGAGACAAGTAACCCTAGCCTCGCAGTGAACGTCAAGCTGAGATTGACCTTGTTTTGATACAAACTTCTTTCCTTTTCGTATGAAAATCATGCTAAAAAAATTCAATAGTTAGCATAAGAATATAACAT